CCAATATAGAATCACCAAGTAACCTACATGCACGTCTTTGGACTGTGGGAGGAAGCTGCAGGCACAGCAAACTCCAAGATAGAAATGTTTTCTTATAGGATAGAGATGATCACTTTGTATTGATTCGCTGTGACCTTTCCCTCTCAGAGGGCGACTAAACTTAAACCATGTCAGCTAAATGACCCATAGCTTAACAGAGGCAGGTTTTTTTTCTTAAATTTGCTGCAGACTGCATCCAGATATAGATCTATGTCAAATATATAGGAACAAAAATACCAGCATTTGAGCATATTGGAGAAAATGATCTCCTTCTGTTTTCATTTAGAAAGGGCATTTAACATTGATAGTTCTGTTTGAATAAATACAACCTTTTATAAAATACCTGGAAAGTGTTTTATTAAGGAAAACACATACAATAGTCTGATGATGTATTGAAACTGTAAACATCTCAAAAGTCACACTAGATGGTCGAAACACATTATTTATTAGCTCGAGAGATAATTCAAACTAAACTATCACTCGAATAGGAGCTATTTATTAGTTTTATGTGAGATATTTGATGTTCGACTAGGATTTTTTTTTAATTTGTTGGCTATTTATTAAGTTTCATTAGTTTGCTATTGTGTGTTTCTCTGTTTTTTATTTAGTCAGTCCAGATTATGGGCACTTCCTGGTGTCAAATAGCTTTTGCGGTGCCCAAAAAAACAAGAATTGTGAGATGACAAGCATCCTGTTGCTTGTGGAAGAAGAAGAAAGTCATTCCTAACCAGCTTTGAAATCAATAAAACAGCAAAAAATCGCAAAGGGAGCAGCAGAAAACAATGATCACTCTGGTCTGATAATTATTTACAAAGCTGTATTTCTCTAATCCTGCTACCTACACACTGCCATAAGACACAACTCAGAGTCATCGAAGTGTTGTGAAGAAAAAGCCACACTAACTGAGTGACTGACTCCCTTCGAACATGCAGGAGCCCAGACTTCAGTATCTGACCTGTCAAACACTGTAGGAACTCAGTGTGTAACTGTCACGGCGGCCGGCTGCGGTTCCACGCTGCAGCACATAAACCACACGTCTGGATCCTCATCAGAGGCCGCGCTGATCGGATCTGATGATGGATTTATAATCCCAGAGCAGTTTTTGCACAGTCTGTTGGTTTTATGTTCCTCTCCGTCTGAAATCTCCTCCAGTTGTACAAACTGTATTTACTGCAAACCCAACACGTGTGATGTTTAGGGGATCATAAGAGCTCCGTAGACGGGATGTTTTGTTCCCGGGTGGAGGCCACGCTCTCCGGAGGCTTCAATTTTTCAAAAGCTCCGTTATCCCCTCAGGTGTTGTCGGACTTCTGATTTATCGTTCGACAATATCTCAACTTGTCAGCTGGAAGCCAGGAACATAAACGTCTGATCTACTTCAAAGAGCGTCCTGCTGCCATCCTGTGTCCAACTGCCACCACGGAGAGATGAGAAGGTGTTATGTTTGTGGTGCTGGTGCTGGTGGTTGGGGGGGCATTGTTCACTGTAGTGAGGAGGAAACCAGATGGCTTCAGTTCCACATAACTTCCTTCAGCTGCAGCACACGCTGCCCTCCCTGATGACTCACACAGCCGACGCTGCTGCCTCCAGAACCAGCACCGCGTAAAAGGCGCCTGACGGACCGACTGGTGGACGGACGCCCGAAGCCTGATTGGTGTGAATACTCGCCTTTGCGCTGTGGCAGAGATAAACGCACATTCAATTACACACATTGTCCGTTGCCATTGTGCCTCTCGTCCTGCAGTAACGCGGACGGTTCTGTGGTTTCGCTCACATGGCGGTTGATAAAGGCCGTCACAGCTGGTTGCAGATAAACAGACCTGAGCACAGGCGAGCGCTGCTGTATTTAATTTGCAGGCTGAGAAGACTAATCAGGGGGCTACATACTGTGAATATAGACAAGTTACTGCCAACCCACTCTAATTAGATGCTGGTGAAAAAGCTGCTTGTTCTTGTACGTAGCGCCGGCTGAGACATTAAACAGTCCCTGGAAAGGTGATATCACGCTCCGCCAATTAAAGACTTTGTGTTCTGGTTTCTCTTTACAGCTCTTACAGCTCCGGCTCTCCTCAAAGAGTCGGAGTAATATCCAGTCACAGGAGCGAGCAAACCGACTGGCGGTGCCCGTAGGAAGGGCTGCATCGAGCTGCTTTATATTCGGTCCCACTGGAAATCATCCCTGACATTTACTCCCGGGGAAAGTAAATGAGAGATCTCGGCGTGCGAACATGTCAACCGCTGAGAGCCGCGAGAGGGAACAAAGCAGACATGGAGGGAGGGAATCAAACGTTGAAGAGGGTAAATTATGGTGGTTTGATGTTGAAAATTAAAATCTGAACTTCCTTCCTGCGGCGTCAAATGTGTAGATAGCTGGATCTGAAATGAAACAAACAAAAATGAACCTAAATCACTCAGAAAGTGACAAACTGAATCAGTGCTGGTGAGTGATGGACACTTTCTGGGCTTTAAATAGCTTGAAGCAGTTTGAACATCTCAACACAACACCGTCTGACAGCAGAGGCACATTTCTGCAGAAGAAGAAGAAGAAGAAGAAGAACAGTGACGAGCCTCTGAATTGAAAGATGTTCATGTTCCCCGTTGATGCTGATCAGATCGATGATGCAACGTCTGTGACATTTCAAACTGCTGGATGTGCACCACGCTGACATTTCCGGTTCCTGGAACATTAAACATTAATATTCTGGGGAATAATCATTAATCATCGATAAGACGATCATTATAAATCAGGATTAATGACACTGACAATGAGGGCTTTCAGTGTCTTGATGTGGTGACGAGAGAACAAGTGGTCACAGCGTTATTTCTGTTATTTCATTCCAACTAGAACATCTGTTTCCACGTTTACAGCATCTTCTCTCTTCTCTACATCAGCCGTAGAAAGATGTTTCCCCGTGCTGAGTGTATCTTCCAATGACTCGCTGCTCTGTTCACCATTTCTGAGTCATGCTGCGTTTATTCTATCGATCCAGTGTGTTTTGTTTTCTTCTCGTTCCTTTCTTTTTCTTTCTCTCTTTTCAGAGCGATGATCGATAAAGTGACAGATCAAACGCAGCTGAAAGGTTTCTGCTGCTTTTAGAAAACAGAAACCACCGTGGAGAGTTTTATTAAATCTGAATCTAACCCGTTTCTTAAACGGTGTGCATTCTTATCAGATGCACATAACCTATCCATCCATCCATCCATCCATCCATCGCGTTACACCATGTATAATTATGTTTGTGACAAAGAAAGGCCTTGAATCCTTGAATCTTTGAGGAGTTGTGAGAGAAGAAAGGCCACGGCTCAGCTTTATCCTCTGATTTGACGACATGAGCAATAACGTTCAACTCTGAGTCTAAAGTCAGAATTCAGTTTAGAGGCAAGTTTCTCCCTTTTAAGCCGTTCAACCTGGAACTAGAATCTCAGTTTGTCTCGTCTGAGCAATAAAACCTTTTGCAAAATCCAAGTGTTGGGATCCGTTCGTCCCATAGTATCCACAGGATGAGCAACACAGCTGCAGCACAGAGAACATGCAACACAAACATGATTAAAGTTTCAATAAAGGCACAACCAACATCTGTGCCACGGTGCAGCGGTTCTCCTCCTGTTTATTCCCTCCCTCTTCTCTCTTGTTCAGCGTGTTTGCCTTCCCGTGAACAGCCACCTGATCTTCTGCTGCTGGCAATCATGAGACACACCTGAGACTGCGATATTTAAACACCCGGCTCGTCGCTCTGTGCTCGCCAACCAGCTCCAGCTACCAGCCAGAAACTCAGCTCATTGGACACCGTGATCATCTCCCTCCACTGGCTCGTCAGAAAGCCGCTCACCTCCTCCAGATCCCTGCCACCTGCCACAGCTTTACCCCCCATGGATTCCCTCCCCAGGCTCCACTCATCACTCTCAAAAGATCCGTTGCAATGAACCAGTTTTAATTTCCTACCTACCGTGAATTCCTGCAAATGATAAAACCAACGAGGACGTCTGTGTAATTCCCTGCCATATTTTACAGGGATTGGTCATTACATGCATTTGTCTTTACACCTCGGTGGTAGCATAGCAACAGACCTGTTGTGCACAGCGGCTGGAGACGTGCTGCAGCGTTTCTGCAAAGGTGCATTCACCCAACTGTTCAAACACAAAACCCCCTTACTCCTCCTCCTCCTCCTCAAAAAACAAAGATTTAACTGCAGCTTCAACAAACAAATTGAATTTTTCACACGGCGCCGTGACCACAATCTCACCCCCCTGTTTCTGCGAGGAGATCAAACGGCGTCTATCGGAGGAGACGAGGCTCTGAGGCAGCGAGAGAGGAATGATCTTTCTATGAGGAGGGGGAAAAAAAGAGATTGTATGTGTGATGAGAAGCAGTCTGCCTCCTCTTTATCTGCTCTCTGATCACCCACACGTTGGTGCATATGGTTCTTTTTAATGGGCAGAAGCTGTGTCGTCTGCGGGTGTAAACACAGGAGCTGGTGGTTCATCAGCAGCCAGAGTAAAAAAAAAAAACTATCATCTCTGAGTCACTGTGTGAGTCACACTGATCAAACACAACACATGCATCTCCCCTGTGTGTCGCACAAAGTGACGTTTCTGCGGGAAAACAGTCGTGCAATTCACAGAAATGAATAATCCTCGTATTGTGTTCCCTTTGGTATCTATGTTTTGAGCAGTGACAGGTGGTAAATATCTGGAGGTCTTTGTTGTTTACGAATAGTCCGCAAACGGAGCTGCTGTTAGAAGCTCTGTACAGTTATTCTGTGCTGACCCCGGTTTTAGTCTGCTGTAATTTATCAATCACTTCAGAATATGTCAAGTATAATATTCAGATTTAAATACAGCCTCGGACTCTCCGGGGAAGTTCCTCCCGTTGCCCCGTTGGTAGTCGAGCCTTGACTGCAGGTCAGCAGAGCATCAGGTGTGAGAACCTGGTGAGATGTAAAATCAAACAGCACACCCATGTGGCAGAGAAGCACACGAGCAGCAAGACGTACACAATATATGATTCAGTCACAAGTCAGTCCTGTTCTTTCGTATCCACATTCATGTCATCCTGAGCTTTAGAGTTCTCTTGCTGACTTCCACCCGCCTGTTCTTTATCAGCAGATGGAGTCAGTCGTCATGCAGCTCTGATGTGTTTTAAACTCTTTTGATGTGGTAACAAGTGAGAGAACCTCGAGT